GGCGGAATCGGATAAATAAAACGCAACTACTGAATAGCAAAAAATCTGAAGTGTGAAGGCTATCTGCTATCTTCCAGGTAGTATGAATTTGCGCCTTCGAAGTGCACACCTGATGTTAGGTAAGATATTATTTGCTATTTTCATTTCCGCATCTGAATAATCAGAGACTTACAAGTACCAAATGTCGTTCTATTAATTAATATCCAATAAGGTACCGACGTATACGGTTTTATATGTGATTGTTGGATATTTTGTGTCCAAGTGTTAAAATGTGCGCAGGGCATGAAATTATGGTTGCGCAATGCGACGGCAGAGAGATTAGTCCAAGATTTCCAAGATTTATTCAAAGATTTGATGATACAGTATAACAATTTTTTTTTCGTAGATTTTTTTTTCTCCTGTGAACATGAGCGAAAAACGCCTAGGCAACAGGCTGCCTGTTTTGCATTTCTCCCTCATGAAGCATGGGAGGGTTATCATGTTAAAATACATAACAAATTTTTTATTCTATGAACAAGAACAGTGCTTTTCTATACTTATGATTATTGGAAAGGGAAAGAGGAGAAGATGAGTGAAAGATTGAGATGGCATTTTTTTTTTCAGAAAATTTTGAGTACAGATGCATTGTGAATAAGCATAAATTGTTTGAGAGCAGTTTTGAAATGTTTTATTTCATTCGTGTTTTTTAAACATTCAGGCAGAAGGTTATACAGTTTTGGTCCAAAGTAGAAAACAAAACGTTGTGTATGGCTCTTTTTATATAGAGGAATTTGAATAATTTTATTCTCACTGGATCGGGTTATCCTCGAACTTTGCAATCTGAAATTATGAATATTTATGTACATCCAGATTAGGGACCGATAAGTGTATGACAACCTTATGTCAAACACATTTGTTTCCTTATACAGCATCTCTGTTGAAAATAGTTTACGTTTTCTCGTTATTATTTTAAGTATCATGTTTTGTGCTGATTGTAGGCTCTTTATCGTATTATTGAAAGTACCGCCCCATGCTGTTATGCAATAATTTATTATTGACTCTACTAATGAATTGTATAAAATCATTAGATTTTTTCGAGAAAGAATATCTCTGAGAACATAGAACTTATGCATGAGTAGCCTCATTTTTTTTGTAATATATAAAATATGTTCATTCCACCTCATATACTGATCCAGAATGAGTCCTAGATATTTGATAGATTCAGTTTTCTCGATTTTAGAGCAGTTACAGTTTTCTCCATTTTTGCAGCTAGGTTTGTGGATACTTATCTTTGATGTATCAGGTTGGTCAGTAGAAGTTGAAGAGAAAGTCATAAATTTAGTTTTTTTCACATTGAGACTTAACAAATTGTTATTGAGCCACATATATATGTATTTCATGTTAGTTTCTGCTGTCTTATAAACATCTTTCCAGTTATCACCTTTGAATAATATTGCTGTGTCATCAGCATAACATATTAAATGCCCTTCAAAGCCATTTATTCGAGATATACTGTTGATGTACACAAGAAACAGTATCGGACCCAATACTGTACCCTGCGGCACACCAACAGTATAATATACTGACCAGAACTAAGTTTTTCTCCAATTTTCACCTTTTGTAGTCTGAGTGATAGGTAGTTTTTTATTAAATTCAATGCTATTCCTCGTATGCCATATTTATATAATTTGTTCAACAAGGCGTCATGTGATACGGTGTCGAATGCTTTTGCTAAATCCAAGAAGACGCCAAGGCATTTAGAAGATTTATCCATAGATTCTATAGTGATTTTGGTAAAATCTAATATTGCATTTTCAGTAGTAGATTTCTGTAGGAATCCATATTGACTGTCCGTTATCACATGATGCCTGTTGAAAAATCTAATGAGTCTTTTTTTTATCGCCTGTTCAAAAATCTTCGCAAAATTGTTGATAACAGATATAGGTCGATAATTATTCATTTGCGTTGAGTCTCCTGTTTTGAAAATGGGTGTTACTGTAGATAGTTTCCACTGATGAGGTATGGTTCCAGTTTTGAAACAATTATTGAGGATATGTACTAAAGGTTTGGTGATATATGAGTGGATATGTTTTATTAATTTTGTATTTAGTCCATCCGGGCCGGGGGCACAGTTATTTTTAAGGTTGGAGATTAACATAATCAATTCTTTTTCATTTGTGGGTTCAAAAAATATGGAAGATTTTACGGAAGGGTCGTTCAAAAAGTTGTTTGGTAAATTACAGTGCTCAATATTTTCAGCCATTTTATTTCCAATATTTATGAAAAAATTATTGAATGAATTTGCCTTTTTTTCATTTTCTTTCATTGTTTCTCCATTTTCATCTGAGATTGTAGTATTTTCTAATTTATTTTTCTTCTGTTTATTTGTAATGATGTCATTTATAATTCCCCAAGTTTTTTTGCAATTTCCTTTAACTTCATTCAGTTTTTCTTTATAATACTCATTTTTTGTCTGTTTAATCAAGCTATTAGTTTTATTTCGATATTGTTTGTAACGTTTTTCTAAATCATCCGAGTGTTTTGATAACAATTTTTTTTTTAGGTTGTCTCTTGTTTTGATTGAGTTGATTAGCCCTACGGTTATCCATGGTTTCAATTTACGACAACTATTATTTCTACATGGCATTTTTTCTGTGCATGCAGAAATGTATCTTTGTAATTTTTCAATGAATTGATCATAGCATATTTGCGGTTGATTCAATTGAAATATCTCTTGCCAGCCCTCATTTTCTAATAAAGAGATCAGTTTTATTTCATTGATTTTTAAAAAATTACTGGGCTGGTTTTTTTTGGACAGATTTTCATTAAATGGGATAGTTACGTATGCTAGTATAGAAAAATGATCTGTTATGTCTGTTTGAATTATCATCGGGTCTATTAAAATTTTATCATTCATACGATTTTCTCTGCTAACAAAAATATGATCGATAGCTGTTTCTGATTCCCGTGTTACTCTTGTCGGTCTATTTATGTATGATATAAAGCCACTACCGTTCAATATGTTGAGGTATTGGTTAACATCGTGTGAAGTGTTGTCCAATAAATTAATGTTTATATCACCTATGAATAATTCCAAATTTTTTTTGTTGAGATTTGAAAAATATGATTCCAGGTCATTTGCGTCATCCAGTCAACCACTAATCTCTGGCGACGGAAACAAGACGGGGTAACTAGAGTCACTGGATGGTATTATCAAACTAATACCATCCAGTGACTCTAGGGGTAACAAATACAATGTAGGGTTGACGATCTTGAATCGATTTTTCCGAGGATCGATCTTTTTATTTGAAAAATCAATTTTGTTTGTAACAATATTTTCTAGAGAATCGATTTTTTTTCAGTATATCGAATCAGTGATGAAAAATGTGAACATTTCACAGTTCGAATAACCCTTCTTGGATAATCAAAAAAATTGTTAACTAGTTTGTTGGAAGTGTTGGACAGCGAGTTTAATTTCGGTTTTTGTATTTGTTATCAGTTTTCAATATTTTCTTTTACCGTGGAAAAAAAGTAATTTATGAATAGTGACATTTCATAACCTGTCAACAGAGATGAAGTTTCAAGCTTTTTTCCCGTCACAGAAAAATAGTTATTTATTATACAAGGGAAAAAAGTACACGGTCACGGTTTTTTGTCTCCCTCCGCTACGCGTCGGTAGACAACACAACCTGGGGCTAAAATCTAATATTTTTCCCGTGTATAATACACTATTTTTTTATGTGACAGAAGAAAGGACGAATCAATATTGAGAAGATATTACATTATTTTGAAGTCTGAAAATTATCGACGTGAATTTTTAATTTTTCAACAGTATAGGGACACCTGCGTTGTAGGCATCTTTATCATTCTTTTGAAGTAATCAAATATCTGATGTCACTTCTGTCAGTCCAATTCTGTGATTTGATTTCCAAAAATTGCGAATTCATTGGTTGTTTAGTAATATTCGTAACCGCGAAGTCGAATGGAAGATAAAAGGACTTGCAGTTCTTTCTCGGAGACGGTATTATTGACTCATTTATCGGAACTATAGCACAACAAAAGCCATCAACAGTGTATATATATGTGATATATATCCGGGAAAAAAGTATACTCACTTTTTTCCCACGGGAAAAAAGTAATTTATGAAAAGTGACATTTTATAACCTGCCAACAGAGATGAAATGCCAAACTTTTTTCCCGTCACAGAAAAAACACTATTATTTCCATTTTCAACCTGGCCGCCAAATCAGCGATAAACATCTCAATGATATCCTACCATCATCGCTAAATATTCGTTCCGTTATTCTCCAGCCAGTATATTGATCAGTAATATCGGAACTCGACCATTGTACACCACTATTTCTACACTGCACTTTTCGGCTAAGGCGTGTGCAGTGGAGTGGAGTGCTGGAGTGTGGTGAATTGATATCCAGTTCGTTGCTTGTGGTGTAGTAAAGTGATTGAATGCTATACAAAACAGAGATTGTTTATTTTATGCCCCAGAATCAAATTCCTAACCTAACAACTATCTGCACTACACTTCCTACACCTTTTCTAGATCAAGTGTACAACTCTGTTCAGAATTGCCTAAATCTTTCGAACCATTTCCATCACGTGATATGTTGAGATTCGTGTTTTTTATGCTAATTTTTTGCGATAAGATTGTCGAGGCTGAGTTTGGTCAGGCAGTTTTATTCTGGCCCACTGTGATGATTTGTGTAGTGATTGAGGGTTTCAAGCATGTTTTTCCTTCCTCTAGAGACCTCGTGGATCTCGTTAATAATTCTAACTATTCTAAGCTTTCCTACGAGCGAATCCGCATGCATTTATATTGTATCACGTGATTCACTGTGACCAATCTGGCAATGAGGTTTGGGAATGGTTCGAATACTTTAGGCTCTTCAAATGTTACAGCACTGTGACAATGAACACAGTGTGAGTGTACACCGTATAACTCCGAACGGTATCAGTGCTACACGATCTACTCTGGTGTACAATATTGTAGTTATTGGATGCAGAGTGAACAAACCTATAGGCAACAGGTGTAGTGTTTCTGTTGTTATTTTTCTTTTCAAATTTTTGACATTGACTGATTTGATTATGATTATTGTTGATAATTTTGTTTTTTGATATTTTTTGTCGTGGATAGTAAAATATATGGAATCGTTATCGTACGTGAATCGTAAATATCGTTGATTTGATTGAGAACTATTTATATACCTAGTTATGAGTGTCATGACAAATAATGGTGTATGGTGGTCTACAACAAATAAGTCAGATAATAACAGACGAAACAGTTCATAATAGCTTTCCAATTCCAAACTCAATCGTTCTCAATTAAAAGAGTGTTCCAGATTTGGTCGAATTACGACAATCAAAATGGAGAAGGTGAAGGAAAATATATCAGTAGCATTATATAATTTCACGAATTCCATGGATAAAAATAACCGAGGAATACATATTGGCTGTTATTCTATTGCTACTATTGGATTAGCATTGGCACTGCGGAAAGTTCGGCCTTTCAGCAAATTCAAAAAACCGTCTGATATTCCCAATATGTTTATCAAAGAGAAACGAGAACTTACTGGACTAGTGGATCGCATTGACCCTAAAGGACCTCTTTTAATGATTCAGCACAAACCTTTGATAGATATAAGAGTTTTCACGACAGGGCAACTTCCAGTTAAGATTTCAGGAGTGAATGTTTCTGGCTTGGGAGTCAGTTGGTTACAGTCTGTTTTATCAGCAAAAGAAGTGAAATTTGTACCAGTAGTCAAAGGAAAGGATTTTGTTGAGTGTCAAGTATACCTAACCCAATTGAAGAAAATAAACAGAAAACAAGGAAAAGCTCCTAGAGAGGTGCAAGAGATCATAAATATTGGGGAAAATATGGTGAAAATAGGCTTTGCAGTACCTGTTCCAATTGAAAAGCCCCTAACAGAAGATGTTGGTTATTTAAAATATTATGCCCAGCTACAGAATGCAGAAAAATATGCTTTGCGCAAAAAACTTGGTCTCAAGTATTATATCAAACCAACAAAAACAGTATTAGTTGGCTTATATGCAGGAACCCTCAATTTGGCTGGAAAGTCCATAAGCCTCTTGAATAGATGGCCAAAGATTTATGTTTCATGACAAAAGGAGATACATTTGGTTTTTGACTTTGTTATACTGATTTTACAAATTTTGGCCATATATAATATTGTAACTTTTTTCTTTTACCCGAATCATAAAGGAACAGCTTGGGAAGACTTTGTCCTAGTATTTGATAATGCAGTTTAATGTGCAATATACTCTGTTGATTTATAAACTAATAAATATTATTTTATGTAGAATAACTTTTTTCAATGTTTCAGTGTAGGTCCTTTCCAAAGCTTTGGAAGTCAAAAAATACCACATCAAATGGTTTTAAAATGGTCTCTATTTCTCGTCATTTTGAGTGGCAACATAATTTTTTATTATTTTACTTTGGGAACTTGAAGATAAGCATAGAATTGGAAGAGATATGTTGTTGAGATTTCCTCTTTTTTGACATAAAACATGACATGAACATTTAAAAAAAAAAATAGAATATGGCAGATGACAGAAATAAAAATAAATAGAAGCTTGTTTCTAACAATATTTTTTATTTTAGTATTTTCAATAGGATCAGACCATAATCACGAAACTAGTCTATTTTTAATTCATGAATTCCGATAACGAATTCAAAATTTCCAACCCCAAAAACACTTACAAACCAATTTTGAATCAAGTCGTACCATAATCACAAATCTGGTCAGCCACATTGGAGCCGCCATATTTTTTTCTATCAAAAAGTCCATAACGCGTTGTCAATGTCATCTGCCAGATTCTAAGTTGATCAGACGATTAGAAGTAGATAAAAGTTCAGTTGCAAGATTTGAACTAGATAATTGAAAGTGCATACCAATAAATAAATTGCATTTATTCGCTAATGGTTCATTTTATCGAGATTCAACAAGAGCTCCTTTTCTATGTTAATAGCCCTGATATTTCATAATTTTATGTAAAAAAACTGAAATTGCGATGAACAAAAAAGTTGGGGTTATTTTTACCCCCTACCTCTCTATTTTGACACACCCCTGTATTTAATTTTCAGGTGATTTTAACTCCATTCAAACCGGCACTGAATAGTTAGTGGATAAACAAAATTTTAGATTTTCATCATACAAGGTGTTGGAGATAATAATACATAATCATTCTCCAAGGCCCCCCTTTGAGGGGCTGTATCTTTCTTGGGGGGCACTTCAGAAAAAAATGTTACGGAGGTTTTCGTAATTATTTCACTCACTCTATATACTCTCAAAGTTTGCCCGCCTATTTTAGAATCATCTTGTATAAAAGATTAAAAAACAGTGACCCGTTTCGGCACAGCGGCCATCATCAGACTGTGCAGTACCTAAAATACATTATGGATGTGGAAATTAAAAATTTTTATTCAACTTTCTTTGATTTCCTTCATTCATAAACTTCAAGGTAACTGGATACAAGTATAAGAAGTTCATTAAATATTTTCTGATGCATTGCTTTCAATAAGATGCAAGAATTTGCAAATTAAAATGTTTCAATCTATTCAATTCATATTTTACCTCCAATTTATTGAAGACTACTATGCCTTTCTGGATTTTACATTAAGTCCAAAATGATATCAGAAAAAATGTATAAAGGTCTGATTATTTATTATGATGCAAATGATGTTTGATTTTATTATAGAATAAATAAAACTTTTTTAAAGGGTGAAAATGAATGTTTATTAGAAAAAAAAGTGAACAAATTTACTCTCTATGCACCAACACGTAGATTCCCAAACAGGCTAGTACAGCATACTGAAAAAAAAACCTTGATGATTTTCATGGAATCAAGAACTGTCTGATTCAGATTTTTTCATCACTGCAGTGAAGTGGTCTATGATTTTACAAGGAGAGTATATATACAGGGTGATTCACATAAAAACCGACATAGAGCAGGGGCATGTAGGGGGTCCCAAAATATGTCAATTTAACGCAACTTACCTCTATACCAAGTTGCTTCCCTAAGGAGTTATAGGCTTTGGAAGTGAAGTTATAAATTTTGAAAAAAATCAATATCTCCGTTATTCTTGAACTTAAAGTAACCAAATTTGGTACACTTTGTGGATGTATTTAGGGCGTTACTTGACAGTAACTAGAATTTAATTGGAATTTGTAAAGGAGGTATACCGGGTGGCGCACCATCAATATTCAACAGAATTTTGTTAACCCTTGATGGATTTCGAAAATCTTTGCTTTGTTTTGTGGGCAATTCAATTTCAAAACTTTTCTTAATCTAGTAATTTCTCGAAAAACCTCATAATTTTCATCAAAAACTCGAATAACTGAAAACGCGTGCTCTAGGTGTGTTATTTAAAATCATCGAAAATTCAAAAGTTGGCTATGAAAATAAACGTCAAACTTGACAATGAAGCAAGTGAGTTGTTCAATCAAGTATTTGATTGATGAACAATTGTTTGTTCTGGTTGTTGTTCAAGTTTTTTGTGTTTATTTTGGTTAGTTGTTAATCCCAGTTTTTCACATTCCAGTATCTGTCCATACTTTACGTATTTTGTTAGTATCTAAATAATAATTTTCCAGCCAATTTCTACTGATCACAATTAATGACCTACTTTCTTGTTGTACGTTTATTTTCATAACCAACTTTTGCATTTTCGATGATTTTAAATAACACACCTAGAGCGCGCGTTTTCAGTTATTCGAGTTTTTGATGAAAATGATGAGGTTTTTCGAAAAATTACTAGACTAAGAAAAGTTTAAGAATTGAATTGCCCATATAATATTTTTGAAATCCATCGAGGGTTAACAAAATTCTGTTGAATATTAATGGTGCGCCACCCGGTATACCCCCTTTACAAATTAAGCTCTAGTTACTTTAAAGTAATGCCCTAAATACATCCACAAAGTGTATCAACTTTGGTTGCTTCAAGTTCAAGAATAACGGAGATATTGATTTTTTTCAAAATTTATAACTTCACTTTCAAAGCCTATAACTCCTTAGGGAAGCAACTTGGTATAGAGGTAAGTTGCATTAAATTGCCATATTTTGGGACCTCCTACATGCCCCTGCTCTATGTCGGTTCTTATGTGAATCACCCTGTATATATACATTTTTGAGTAAATTTTCAAACTATGAAGGATATCTATTCATTTGAATTCAGAATCCTCTGAAAGAGAAAGCCTCTTGATGCAATATAAGTCTGAACCAAGCAGATACAATTTTTTCATCAAATATTAACTTTTTTTCATACAACTTTCAAGCTAGTATTTTTATTTCCAAAATAGGTACCTACCTACTCACTCTGCATCTGCAAGATCATATATTTATGTCTATTGTTTACATAATATTGAGATATTTACCTTGAATTTAGGATATTCATTCATCAGAATTGTAACCATCCCAACATATGGAAGAAAACCTCTTGCTCTGCCAACAACATCTTGTTTTGTCAACCATAGCTGACCAGGTGCATATAACCCCCTATCATCCACACTGTTGTTATCACCTTTGGTTAAAAACTTCACTGTACCATTGCTCCTTCAAGAAAACACATCTAGTTAGTAATCAGTATGGTACAGAGTGTTTCTTCCAACACCACCATCATTAATAATGAGATTTCAATATTGTCAGTATACCAAAAAAAAATGGGATCTCTTTACCAGGTCCATATAGATCTGAATATACAGTTGCAGCACCAGCATATCATGGGTTTTGGGATAGAGCTTTCAGGAAGATTACTATTTGAATACTAAGAAACTATATAATACATGAGCAATTTAGTCATTAGAGAAGTTCATACAATATCTAAAATTTCTATTATCAAAAAATGATTCAGTGAGTTGTAACCATCTATGTTATTTGTAATTATGAAGAGGGCCTGGTTTCATTAAATTAAATTTCAGAAAGTGAAGTAGGTGAGTATACAATTTCATAACTTTTAGTACACACTTTCAATTCTGCAAAGAAAATAATCCCAAAAAATCAATATTATACTTATAGGGTGATTCAAAATTTGATGTAAATATTCAAAGTATGTATTGTTGGGATCAAAATGAGACTTTTTCTTCATATTATCATGTGTCCTAAAACCATGGAACTGAAGAAACACTTTGGTTATAGCTAGATTACCATACTTTTCATGCAATTTCAATACACGATGAACTATTGGAATGTCTCTTCCTTCCACTTTGAAGACAACAATTTCGCCCACCCTGACGGGTTCTTCAGGATAGTTGGTGAGGAACAGGAGATCTCCTCTATGGAAAGCAGGCTCCATACTTCCAGACAACACCACTACTATGGGACTCTCACTGCCGGTAACTACCATAAGACCCTTCCATATCATTAATGCAGACGATACTATCATCCCAAAACTGAGGACTTGATAAATGAACTGAAAAATATCGAATGATAATATTCTCAAAATATCTAGATTATATGTGGACAACTCACCTGTCTCTTATTCATACGTTTCACATCATCAAACATTGTACCAAAATCCATTTTGAAAAGTTTATTTCGAAGATATAATATTATTAAATTATAATGTTATAAACTCAAAGAGAATCCTGTAGTCCACGTCAGATCGACTTGAATCTACTTTTGAAAACAACGCCAAAGTGCCAAAGAGGTTATGTTATGGTTTTGTCGTAAAAGTAATGATTGTGGTTAGAATGACAAAGACAAAACTCTGTCCTCAGAAACAGTCAAACCACATTCCGTTTCGATTACGGATCAGTGTGAACTTGGCAGATCATGCTAGGTGCTATTTCCGAATTTACCCGAATAACCAGTGGCGTCCCAATGAAATACAGGAGTTCATTGAATACAGCACAGAGCACAGCAACAATTTTCGCACTTACACAGGGTGACACAGGGGTGCTTCAGAAATTTAACAAACGTCTCTCGCCAGTCATTCAATTGGTAGCATGCTGCGAAAAATCACAAGGTTATCAGCAAAGAATATAGGTTCCTCTCCTCTTTGTTATCAGGTTATAAGGTATTATGAGGGAGGAAAATATCGTTTCTGCATGATGAGGGACAACTTTTGACCTATTATCTCGGCCTAAATGAACCTTTTTCCTAACGAGTATATATTTAAAAAAATTACTTGTGCATGAAAAAGGAGACTTTTTTCAACCGAAATCGCCCTGAATAATTCTTTCTGAAAAGTATATTTTTTGAAAAATTAGGTACTTGTGGAAAAAATAAAAAAAATAAAAACAATATTGACGCCTTGCAGGGATTAGAACGCGAGCCACCGCCGTGGAAGTCACATTAAAAGCCATTTATTATCTTCCATCTTTGGTTTACAGCACATAAATACATCCACATTGTAAATAAATAAGTATACTAAGTACAATTTAAAACTGTATAGATAAAATCCTCCGAGCAAGCAGAGGTGGCTGGTGTTGGCCAAGGAATGTGGGTGCATATGTGAAGTGTTCGTCGCAGAAGCCTATCTCCTAGGGCTAAGCCCTTTATACAGGTAATTTCACTGAGGTTACCCAATGGGTGGAGGAGTTGTTCAGACGCTATCAGTGGTGGGTGTTGTGTTTTGTAGAATCTATTAGAAATTTTCAATATGTGCTCACTGACTCTAGGCAAATTACCACATCTCTCGTGGAGATCTGCCACTCGAGAGTTTCTATCGCCGTTGGTGATAATACGGAGTACTTTGTTCTGCAGCACCTGTAGCTTATGCATATGAGTAGGTAGGATACTGCAGTACACCGGACACGCATATGTCATTACATCAGGCCTGATGATTTGCTTGTATACCAGGACCTTATTTTCCAGCGAGAGAGGGGAGGTCCTGGGATAGCAAGGGATACATCTTTTTAATTGCAGCTTGCGTTTGCTGTATTAGGTAGTTTGTATTCTTCCTGAATGACATAGGAAGTCAGATACACAGACCACAGGGCTATCGCGCTACTCGAAAGTTCTTATAACTATGAAGAAAGAAGAAATAACGTGTGCAGCATGCTACTAATTGAATGACTGACGAGACACATTTATGAAAAACGGTATTCAGCGATCACTATAGATTCTAGCCATAGCACCAAAACAAGGTAATATTGCCGCCTGGCTCGCTGCTCGCGGGGCGCGAGAATCATGCAAGAATATTCAGAGTCATGACTAGTGAGTTGATATATATTCGAAGAAATATGTTCAACCTATTCCTAACAGATATACAGGGCATTATATGTAATTGTGGTGAAACTTCGATGAACGATATTTCAGCAACGTCTCTATGGTATCGCCTGAAATTCATCAGCAACTTACCTCTACAGACACTCGATAAGATGGTCGCTGGAGAGATGTATAGAAATTTTTTCTATACATCTCTGTCGCTGGTCTGGAAAAAAAAATCCAGAGCCGTCTAGCGTCAAAAATAAGCAACTTGTACTGAGCAGGTAAAGGGAAAATTTGCTTGTATCGGATTACCTTGATCGGATTGTTCCGATTGTTTTGGTCTGAGCAATATATGTGGTAAGTTTTTGTAAAGACCTTTTAGGGACTAGGAACACCCTTTATATTGAGAATGAGCAACTCGCACAACAACAGTCAGTAAATCAGTCAGTGTCAGGGATAGTTGTGAACCGGGTGTTTTGAAATGTTCGAAATAAATAGTACTTATAAGCGATATCAGTCAAAAATAAAGTGTTCCTTTTAGTTGAATAAATTAGTTGATTAGTTCATGTGTCGGTCTCCGCTTCTGATGATCACGAATAACGTAACAATACTTATTCCTTATTATATATTTCGGTGTTTTCTGAATCACCCTGTAAAAGTCCGAATTATGCAGAGAAATAATGAATTGTTACTCAGCAGCTACTTATCACCATCATTGTTTTTCTCACGATAAGAAAATCATATTATGTCTGGACGGAAGCTCTGGGCCCCCAACAAATATTTATTTTATATCTTTCCTGTCTTGCCATAACAAATAAAAATATATAGAGGATGTTACAATAGGTACTTAACGTCGTTATGATTTATCATTGTTTTTTTCTGATTTTATTCAACGCTGGCATTCATTAAAATTCAGATTTTATATAGTTTAGAAATATGTTCACATTATGTTTTGATGATATAATATCTTTCAAATGGTGCCCATTGCGAGGCTTCGACTTGACGTGCTATTTATTCAGAGCATCTTATCTTCCATTTATTTTTCTGAGAATTTCAGGTCACAATAACGCCCTCACTTCTTCTCTGATATTGGCCAAGATGTTGGATATAATATATGGTTTTTGGTTTGTATATATATGACGAATAATCAATAAAATTTAACAACTTATTTGGATCTTTGTTATGTACAGAGCTTTTCCATCATGAATTTCAAAGTGAATTCTACAACAAAACGAGAAAAAAATTAGTTAACAAAATAGTTATTTATGCAACAAGTGCAAAAAGTGAATGTTTATTGCACGAGTTGCATACAACATTTTTTCTACGTTCATGCAAAAAGCAAAAAATGATTTATTGAGGTGCGGCACTAGGTGTAGGAAAATGAAAAAACGCAACTTGAATATACTTTATTATTGATATCGATTTGCATTGAAACAGGAACTAATACGTTACGAACAATTTAATAACTCAAACTTTATTTTTACCCTCAATGTTGAAAGTGAATTAATAACAATTGGTGCAATTTTCAATATGAATATATGACGTTTCTATAACCACAGTTGCAATATAAAAAATGTTTGTCATGATGACAGCACGTTGAAGTAGAATGACAGATGAGTGCAATAAAAACTTTATTGCACTAAGTGCAATAAAGAACTTCTTTTTCCACTAAATATAGTTCAATAAAGTTCTGCTTTTTGCATGAATGTAGAAAAAAATCATTAACAAATAAAATCATCTAACTTTTAGTTATGCGCGCCACCCTTTATAATGTGGATCTCGGTAACCATCATGAGAAATACATGATAACAAAAAAGACGTCAGCGGCTCATATACAATAATTACAATGCTGTATCATAATATATGCGCAGTACTTCAGGATGTGATAGCTCGTCCAAAAATATGAAAACAATTCTCACTAACTTACCCTATAAAACGCACTATTTTCGAGATACAGGGTGTTGAAATTTAGAAAAAAAAATCGTTTCTTGCGAATATTTCTGGAACAGTTTATCTCACAGAGAACAGCTTTTGTGAGCATTTTTTTAATTTGTAAGTCATAATTGCTGAAGACTTTGAATGGGAAGTCGGTGTTTTTCTCCCCAACTTCTACGCCACGGGAAAAAGTACAGTTTTGAGCCACCTATTTGAACGGCCGATGTTTTCTTCACAAGGAAGATAATTTTGGTCAGAAGCTCTAGAGTTGACCGTTTTTGAGAAAAAACAACTTCTATATGTTGAAAATTATTATAGTGAATTGAAAAAATGTTTTTACTAATCAAACAAAATCCATTTAAACTTAAGAACGAGCATACCCAGCGAGCACAAAAACATCTCAGAGATGTTAAAAGTATACGAGATTTCGAGACATTGAACCTCCACTGCGATGTTCTGTTCACACATGAATAGAACTATTATAGAACAGCCAATGTCCGCCATAGGCGGCAATTATCGAGATGTCCTTATTGGTATGTCACAAAACTACCTTATTCTCCCTAGTTCTTTTTAAAGCCTTTTCATGAACACAACAGAACATTTTCAACGCGTCTTGCGCACATTAAATCGCTGTAAAAAACCATTTTCGACGTACTTTTCTGAAGCCTTTGTCAAAATGAACTTTCGCATTAGGATTCCATTTCCCTTGAATGAAAAAATGCATTAAAAATAGATTGAACATAAAAATATTTTCTTGATATGAAATTACCTTCTTAATCGGTTTCTGAGTAGTGCTTACTACACACAGACATAAAATTGGAAATAGGTTTCCCAATTTTTGAAATGTTCTCCAAAGCATAATTTTGCAACTGCGGAGAAGCTCTGTGTATTGATTGATTCGTACTTTTATATATTGATTACACTGAGGCACCGAAAAACACATCTTTCATCTGATGGTCATTATTACAAACTAAATAAGTCTTCTAACACAATAAACTTCACCAAATTCCTTTCTGTTAGTTAGTAGCGTGATGTAAGCGTGACACGCTGCAAACGCGAATGCCAATTGCAAACAAGAAGAACAAAATCGAAAACAAATCAGAATTCATCGTATTGTGACGTAAGCATGAGACGTTGTGGTGGGGCAAACAAAGAAAGGGCACAAAGGAACAAAAACAATACTTTCAATATCCTTCTGAGACCTCTTTGGGAAGTGCATATTACGCCTCAAAAAAAAAAAACATCCTCATGCCTACATTTCTAAAACATCCCAAAACATCCCAGGGATACCTCTCAATAGGCAAACAAAGAAATGCCACAGAAGAACAAAAACAATACTTCAATATCCTTCAAAGACCTCTTTGGTCAGTGCATATTACGTCTCAAAATAACATCTTCATGCCAACATTTTCAAAACATCCCAAAACATCCCAGGGATGTTTGTGCTCGCTGGGTAACGAGTAACAAAACCAAACGTTAACTTCATGTTGCAAAATTAAAAAAAACAATAACTAGTTATTTATTATACAAAGGGAAAAAAGTAGTAGATTTTAGCTCCATCAGGTTGTGTTGTCTCCCGACGCGTAGCGGAGGGAGAC